CTTATACTTGTGTAGTACAAATAGAAGGAAAGTCGGATAACCTTTTATATTTACCCGGTATGATTATAGTATTATGAATATATTCAACCTTCCTTTCATCTATAGTCTCAATATGCCAACCACTTTGGCTTATACATTTGAAACTCAAAAAAAAATTCTTTTGAGACTTACTACAATATCAATGTCATGAATAATTTTATTCATCCGGGTAATAATAAATTAGTTCCTCCGAAGCTCTTAATTAATTTTGTACTACAAGATCTTTTGTAACACCATTCATATGGTGAATGTCTCTTTCACAAAGAAAGTTATATTATAATAAAGTGTCCTGGTCAAAGTCATCATAAGCAAAAGTATTTCTTGCTTGAATTTTGCCTTTAATAACCTTTTATAAGGCATGTCAAAATATTTCGGCGTACCACATGTACGCGACCAATGACATATTCATGTAAAAACACTTTAATATTCATTATCTTTCTTTCTCTCAAGCCTCCTTTAGAGGCGAGTTGTGGTATGTATCCAATCATGCATTGTACGTCTTTATTCATTACTTTACACATATTGCTACATTCACCTTCAAGAATGAGTCTACATTCTAAATGTTTATCACAAGTCACATTCTCTTCAGGGAATGGAGTATAATCATTGCGACGTGATTTATTATTTTTCTATACCAATTTGATGGTAAACATTGCCTTCACCTTTTGAAGGATATATTGAGAACCCTTATTGTTCTCCTTTTTATAATTACTATATGATGACGATTATTATTTCGTTTCTTGCCACGACCATGCCAATTCATATGGGCACGATAATTATATTTTTTTTTTTCAAAATCATCATCAATATGGTGCATTGGGACTTGAACCCAATATCTTACCTTCATAAATGTATATTATGCCTTAATCATCCGGACTTGAACCCAACATCTTATTATTATGGTGCACATGAACTTGATGCATTATTCTTAGAGTGTCGTGGGACTTACCCCCAAGCATTTATGAAAATATCAATTATCACTCTTGTGGTCATAAGCAAAAACAAAATTAGTTATAAGAATATATTCACTTCTGCTACTCATGTATATCATGAAACTAAAAATAGTTCAAGTATACCTTCTAATACAAATAGTTAACTATTGGTTGATAAATTTTAGGTACTGGTAAACCATCAGCAAAGTATTAACAACCATGCAGAAATTGATTAAGAGATCATTATGATTCATTGACAAATAAATCGTATAGCTAAGCATTCACATCAGCCCGCTATTATTTATCCTCTCATCTTCCAAATAAAATGAACTTAAAATTCTCTTCTTTAAATGAGAGAGCCATCTTCAGAATTACTAGTGTATTTATAGGATTTAAATTTGCAGAAAATAACTTGTAATAAATTATGATGATATCTGACAAATATTATAGAACACATAAACAAAATTTTACTGGACAACTCTAAGTGTTTTCACAATATATTAGTGGCCAAGTTAGATTTCCATGACAAATGAGAAACATATGCATGTCCAATACTTATTGAATGAATCAAAACACTTGATCAAGTCATTTCAATTACACATAAATATATCCTTTTTAAAAAAAAGTATTATATCTGAATATAAATCTAAAAAAAATTGGTTAAATAAAATTACTAAGGTCATCTTCAGTTGAGAGGAGTTAACGAGTATTTCTACCAATTAAAAATCATGGCAAATTTTTACAATATCTCTAACCAAATGCTTTCTGATATACATGTGAATAATGAATTACTATATAATTATTTTATGTCTACTAATTTCTTTTCTGTGACGACATAACAACTCCTATAAGAACTTGAATTAATATAAAATATGTAACATGTATTAAGACATACCTGGAGGATATATGAAAATAAACCTTAAAATGGTAATGGAAAGGATTAGAGCATCGTGCTGATAACATGTTATAAAATAAAAGCAATATAGCAAGAACTATGTAATTAACTAGGACTAATAATAGAAGAGAATGATAACATTAGAAGAGGGGATTTATTTCTTCGTTTTGAGAGTATATCGAATAGGTACCTACTTATAGAAATATTTAGTTGTTACATATATGGATACATAACCAATCTAAAACCTGTTTTGGATACATAACCAATCTAAAACCTGTTTTGGATACATAACCAATCTAAAACCTGTTTTGGATACATAACCAATTTAAAACCTGTTGTCACACCTCCTTTTTACACACCTACCCCGAAGGATAATGTATAAGGGAGTTTTTCCATTTAAAATGACATTATTCGAAATGGGATTATTTATTTATTTTTAGAGTCGCCACTTGGGATAGGATTGGCTTTTGGTGTCCCAAGTCACCGGCTTAACTTGAATCCCAAATCGAGGAAAATTTCGACTTCCCAATTGGAGTCCGCGAACCAGAAATTCTGAATAAGGAATTCTGTTAACCCGGGGAAGGTGTTAGGCACCCCCGGATTCCATGGTTCTAGCACGGTCGCTTAAACCATTACAATTGACCTATTATCTGATTTTAATATATGTTTTAGCCTATGGTATAATTTTAACTTTATAACCGCTTTTATTCATTTTAAAGAAGATTTAACGTCGTCTAAAATATGTCTTTGGACCGCGTCACGTGAAATGCACCCGCAATCCGAAACACATTCTATTCAATGTTATTAAGATTTGGATTTGGGTCACATGAAATGCGCACCCGAGTTTAGGAAGGTAATATTATTAAAATAACGCGCCTAAAGCAACTACGCGTTGTTAACTTTGCGAGGGCCATGGAAATTTGCTAAATGGCGCGCCTCGATTTCTAAAGGGTTAACATTAATTAAATGAGGGTCATGGGTTTTGAGATTTCATTTGGCATGGCACGCCTCAAATTATTCCAAAGGGCTTTACTCAACTAAAACAAAACTACGGATGCTCATAAGTTATTTTCCTAAACTAGTTTGAGATTATTGTGAAGGCTATAAGATTATGGATATGAAATTATGGTGAAAGAAATGTATAATTTTAGCCATTACGAAAAGATGGGCTAGCTTTCACGCCTCTTATTATTGTCGGGCTACGCCAAATTTAACTAACTTATTCGGGTCCAAAATTAATTCTTATGCAACCGAGCAAATCCCGAAATTCAATAATACGCTTCTCGATTCCAACCAAGTAATCCGCAACCTACTTTTGCCTTAGCAGTCCATTTTCCAGTTCATCTTTTACCCTTTTAAATTTTAAAACACATGGACAAAAATGCTTATGAATGCCTTTCAATGTTCTGACAATTTCTAAAATCATCCAAACACAAAAGCCAACATGAAACAATTTTGTATGCAAATCCAATGAAATAAACACGCAAAACACTCAAAGCAATTATCAAAGGCAAAAGTAAATATAAAACAAGCAGTTAATGAACAAGAAAGTGGGTCTTGAGTGAGCTTTTCAAATTTTTTTCTTTTTTTTTTTATAAAAAAAATATGCTAAATTCAACTAAAACTAGCAGACCAAGAACAATAGGACATTTACTAACAAGGCAGAAATTTTATTGAAGCAGGAGGTAAAGGGACGAACCTTAAAGACCCCGAAAATTGACTACGAACGGGAACTTTCCGGCAACCTCGACTGACCTTGTTCGACCATGGTTTTTGGGATGTTTACCAGCTCATTTTTGGAGTGGAGACAGAGCTCTTTTCGCTGGTTTTCAAGGCTGGATATTTGGAGGTAACAGAGCTGTTTTTGCGGCTATTTTGGTGTGCTTTTAATGGTGTTGTTAGCCTTTTCTCCTCGATTCCCTCTGTTTTCTTTCGTTCCCGATCTCTTTTTATTCCTTTTCTTCCATTTCTTCAGCTTTTTCCCCACGTGTTCCTTTTTTGTCTGTTGTAACTTTTGGCTTTTTTATTTTTTTTATTTTTTCAGAGAAGTGGAGGATGAAGGAAACGGCGGATTCCTAAGGTTTTTGGCGTTCTTTTTTTGTGTATGTGTTTGTGGTGTAGGTAGTATTATATAGGGTAGGGATTAGGTTAGGGGTATGGGCCTAGGAACTATGGGCTAGGGATTTTGGGCCAAAGACTAAAAAAATGGACTATAAGATTTATAAAAACGGGATAAACCAACCTAAAACTAATTCTTTCTTCTAAAATTATGTACAATTATAAGATAAAAATATAAAACTAATATTAATTAATTGAACTAAACTATAAAACATAAAACTATTTTTTTTTTTTGTGTTTTCAAGATTATAAAAATAAAGATAGGGTACTATTTTTTTTTAAGATTAAAAATGACTATAAAATATTAATAAACCTATTTTTTTTGTAATTTTTCATTTTCTTGTAATAAAATAAAGTAAAATAGTAAAAATTAGTTGAAATGGCGATACTAGGCCTAAACTAAATATTTACATGCTAAAATGGGTAAAATTTCGGAGAGGGTCAAAAATCACATGTCAACACCTGTTATGGATACATAAGCAGTCTAAAACTGTTATGGAAGACATCCATCGTTGCAAGTGGATGAAACCATTTGCAGGATTTATAACAGGGTAAAATATATGTGGAAACAGGTGGATAGTTTTATCAACAAAAAAAAGGAAAGAATAACAAGTGATAGAGAGTACAAATAGGAAAATCTGTACCGCAAATAATTTTTCCCTACAAGAAGTTAGAGGGAAAAAAAACTTTCTACGATTTAGGCAACACAAGGAAAAGAATATTATTTTGTCACGGACGTATTTACTAGAAAATATTGTCCTACTTAACAGCGTCTTTTTGGGGAGAAACAGTAAAATGTCATAGAAACTCGAGTTCAATTATCAATTCGATTACATTTAAGGATAATATCATATCTCACCCCGTTCATCTGTGACAAAATGATGAGATCAAGACCACATCTAATAAAGAATTCAAAATTTCTATGTACGGACGATATATATATAGTTACAAGTAATCTCTATGATAATATAATATTAATTAGTAACCTCATGAAAATGATAACTAAACAAATATAATATGTTAAAAATACATTGATTGTGTAAAATATCATTCAAATGTATATAACTTACATGGCAGCTACATTTGGCTTGAAAGTTTATCTATGTATAACTCAAAAACGTTATCGAAGTTCAATTTTCAAACAGTATAGTCTCGTTAAAATTCCTAGAATCCTTTGAATTGCAAACTACAGAGGAATTATGTTTTCTCCAAGGTAAATAAAAATCTAAAATTCTGCACTTTCCAGCAGAATATACTTCAATCACTGTCTGGACTAATATTCTTCAAGAGCTTAGAGCATTATTCTACTTTCTGATATTCCGTCTTCAAATTGCTTTCTGACCAATCTAAACCTGTTTGGGATCTTCAGCCAGCTTTCTTTTCAGCTCTTTCTTATTTACCTGATATAGAGAAAAGGGCATCAAATGTGCTTTTGTTTTATAGCCATGATTGTTTAGATATAAAATGAACTAAACAAGGGAAGTAAAAGAACGGTGGGAGACAACGTCGGGTTGGGGAGGGAGTTTGGAATATCTTACCTTTCCCATAGCATTTCGAGGCAGCGAGTCCCAAAGAAACAGACAAGTTGGTATCTGGAGAACAGTTATAAAACAGAAAGAATTAGTTTAAGCACGTTAATACTTGGGATACCAGAACATCTCGCACGAAGCATGGGCATGAATTCCTTTTCCCTAATCCAAGTAATTTCAATATTATGTTTTTCTTAAATCATTCAGCAGTCATGCACCGTCCTAGTACAACTAATTTCTTGGATAAGGAATTTGTTCTCCGGACTCATTAACCGGAAAACACAAAAAACACGATTCATAGGCTCGAGTAAAAATTAACACCACCGAATAAGGGTGATACCTTGTATGGGGCAAGTTTCTCCTTCGCCCAATCAGAAAGTTCTTGCAAGGTTAGTGCAGGCTTTAGCTCCTCGTCTCGTCTTCTTTTCACTTCGCCCTCAGGCACAACTATTGTACATACCACTTCGCCATAGTCTTTGTCAGGCAAGCCCAACACACAGCACTCTGATATCGTTGGATGCTGTGAAAAGGAAATTTAATTACACAGGGTGAAAATGCTGATGTCAGAATCTTAATTCTGACAGATATCTTAAATGGGAACAAACAAACTTTAATAGAAATCCAAGGAAGTCAACGTAAATAGATAAACAAACAGAAACCTCCAAGAGAACTGCTTCAATTTCCAGTGCTGATAATTTGTATCCACCGACCTTAATAATATCAGCATTGGTACCTGAAAAGAATAAAAATCAATTTTTTCCCAACAGATACAGTTTTGTAGTAGACGAACTTTCATCACTCCATGGTTTTATTAATGGAATAAAGAACAAGGTTGGATAACCTTAATAAGTGGAGCTTCTAATTAATCAAAACCTTATGTTTTCAAAAAATATTTATTACTAGAATCAACTGTAATCTAGAATATCTTCTTTTTTCTTTTTTTTGGATAAGTATAATCTAGTAGATATATTTCTTTCACAGACCTATATCTACGATTATTGAAACTATCATTTGGGGTTTTTGAACTACTTAGTGAGAAATTCCAGATATGTGTATGGCACATAGACTTGCACTTCCCCGTCCATTAGTAGATCTTACTACATTAGAAAAAGTAGCAGACTGTCATTTTCACTGATTCCCTTATCAGTTTGAGAAAGCAGCACGGGAAGAACATTGTCATTTCATTTAGGTTGCAGAAAAATTCAAAAGGGGGAAGGAGACAAGAATAACTTGATTGCTTTCAGAGAAGTTGCCATTCAAATTTAATGCAGGTCATGAAAGTCTACTGGGGGCATAACCTGCATGCAATTGGTAAAGTACACGTAGGAAAAAACTATTTTATGATCAGGAACTAGCAAATAACTAAAGGGCAGCCTGGTGCGCGAAGCATCCCGCATTCACGCAGGGCCCGGGGAAGGGCTGCAGCCCAAGGGGGTGTAATGTAGGCAGCCTACCCTAATGCAAGCATCAGTTTCCACGGCTCGAACCCGTGACCTATAAGTCACATGGAAAAAACTTTACCATTGCTCCAAGGCTCCCTTTCTAAAGCGATATGCTATTGGTGCAGCACAACTAGAAAATATTTAAAAAAAATCATTGGAAGACAATATGCTTACGTCCCAAAATGATGTAGTATCCGTCTTCATCAACTGTAACAGTATCTCCAGTCTTGAAATATCCATCCTCAGTAAATGACTGCTTGGTTACCTAACCAATCCACACATGGTGCAAGAAATGTTCAATACCAGATATGGCATAATCATCTATTTGAATTTGACGAGCCACTTAGCCTCAATTGCAAATGGTAATAGATTCAAACTAAGTACTTGACAAGGTTCGGGGGTTGGGGGGTGGGTGGGT